TTTTTTCGATTTTTTCCATAGAAAACAAATTAGAATCGGAGTGTCTGTGATTTTTTTCTATGGAAATAGAATTTTCCGGAATTTTTTTTCCAACGAGAATTTTCGACTTTTTTCTATAGTAAAAATTTAAACATTTTCCCGATTATTTTCTATAGAAAAAATTGAAAAAAAAAAGAAATTTACTAACTTTTTTATAGAAAAAAATTGAAAAAATATAAAAAATATCGGATTTTTTTCCTTAGAAAAAAATTAGAATCGGAGTGTCTGCGATTTTTGAACCCTCCACCATAGTATGGAGGGTATATCAAGTTTGTCATTCCGTTTGTAACACCTTGAAATACACAACTTATACCCCACAAAGTATATATATTCTTGATCGGCATCATTTGGTGATTTAATGCGACATTATTCACCGGATTTGTTTCAAATTTGGTATTTGAAGTTCGTAATGGATACTACAGCCTAAGACAGCAAATTGTCTGTGCTGGCCCACGTTTTGGTATAGCCCCCATATAATGGTACCTCCCTATATTCGGTATTCTCATTATTTGAGCTACATTATTCACCCAATTTTTTTTCAAGTTTCACATTTGAGTATTGTAATGGTTTATGACAAAAGTTGCCTATGCAGGCCCACGTCGCCGTATATACCCTAATATAAGGGCTACATTCGGTATTTTTAAGATTTTAACAGAATTTTTTGGAAAATTGCTGAATTCGTTCCAAATGGTGGAGGGTATTCGTCAATTTTTTCTGGAAAAAAATCCAAATAGTTAGCAATGTTATGCGATTTAAACCGCTTAGGCAATATGCAATTAATTTGGAAAGTCTATGGAATAGAATTTTGAGACCCAATTTTTGGTTTTTTCAAACGTTTGTTTGCTATTTTTTTCTATAAATGTGTTTTTTTATATTAACATGGTCCTGTCATGAACTGTTATCTAGATAGTATAGACACAAACCATTTGCTTAGAATGCATTTTGTCTAGTCTTTACCATTTTAGGTCTTTGATATAATTTTCCGTAATTTTTTTCCACATAAAAAAAATTGAAAACAGTATTTCCGCCATTTTTTTCCATAAAAAAATTGAAAATAGAATTTTCCGCAATTTTTTTTTTCAAGAAAAAAAAATAATTAAAATTTACCGCATTTTTTTTTTTCCATAGAAAAAAATGGAAAAAAGGATTTCCCTGATTTTTTTAATTTTTAATTGTTGGGTCTGACATGAGTATTTCGAGGAGTTACAAACGGAATGACAAAATTAATATACCCTCCATAGTATGGTGGAGGGCATAAAAAGGTCCACCGAACAAATGTTTACTATAAAAAAAATCTATACACATTTTCCTCGATCGACAATGGGATTTTCCTCGATGTCTTTTACCCTCAGCCATATGGCTAGAGAGGGTATATATCATTTGATACGGCCAAAACGTGTATCATCGACGATTTTAGAGCCTAGGTCTCTTTAGACCAAATCCGTTTTAGGACATATGGAGTCGATCTAGCGATGTCCGTCCGTCTGACTAGCTGATGCGCACGATTACTCTCGAAGGGAGTTTCCCATTTGATCCAAATTTGGTACATCTTAATATTATTATAAAACTTAGATCGAGTTCGGAGATGGGCATATCGATCCACCTCCCCCACAAAAGATCAACATTTTTACAGAAAATAATTTACCTCATAAAACAAGAAAGGATCATCCGATTTTATTCAAACTTTGCAAATCCTAATATTTGTATCTATGCTAAGTTAGGTACCAAAATGTACAATATAGACCGATTCCCTCAAGTACCTCCTTTCCAAGGGGTCAGCATTTTGAATAATCTCAACCCTTATAAAATGTGAAATAATGGTCCAATTGTCTTAAAATTTCGCATAGCCCTATATTTTTAACAACTCTAGGTCTGGTATGTAGATGAGATAGGTCGGTCAACTCCTTATGGTACCTCGCCCACAAAGGGTCAAAGTTTGGAATGAAATAGAATAAGCTCTTATGAAACACAAAATAACCATCCATTTTCCCTTTAAATTTCACAAATCTGAATATATTTTCTAACACAAGATCTGGTCTGAAGGTGCAATATATTTCTTCACTTCTTCTGGTACCTCCCCCACAAAGGGTCAAAATTTAGAACAATTATAACTGTTATAAAATGTGAAATAAGAGTCCGCTGATCTTCAAATTTCGCAAATCTTAATATTTCCACTAACACAATATCTGGTATAAAGAACCGATATAACGCACCACTACTTCTGGTACCTCCCCCACAAGGGGTCAAAACGGATTTTAATATTTTTGAAAATTGCGAATTCGTTCCATACGGTGGAGGGTATTCGTCAATTTTTTCTGAAAAAAAACCCAACCAGAAATAAAATTGTCCGCCTTTTTTTTCCATAAAAAAATTAAGAATATAATTTTCCGTCATTTTTTTCCACATAAAAAAATTGAAAAACAGGATTTTTCACGATTTTTTTCATAAAAAAATTGAAAATAGAATTTTCCGCAATTTTTTTCAAAGAAAAAAATCCCCCACAAAGGGTCCAAATTTGGAATTATAATAACTGTTATAATATGTGAAATATGAGTCCAATGGTCTTCAAATTTGGCAAATCTTTATATTTCCACTAACACAATATCTGGTAAAAAGAACCGATATAACGGACCACTAATTCTGGTACCTCCCCCACAAAGGGTCAAAATGTTGAATAACCATGAAGCTCATAAAACGTGAAAAAAGCATCCGATTTGTTTTAAACTCGTCACCCGGCAATATTTCCATCAACGCAGGATCTTATGTGGAGATTGAATATATCGGACCGCTAATTCTGGTACCCCCAACAAGCAAAAATTTTGAATAATAATAACTCTCATAAAGTGCGAAATAAGCACCCGATTCTCTTTAAATTTTACACATTCCAATATTCTTACTAACGCAAGATCTGGTGTGAAGATGACAGGTATCGGTCCACCCCTTCTGGTACTTCTCCCTATCTCTATATATCTATATCTTATAACTTGGAATACAAAAAATCGATTCTTTTCAGATTTGGTATATCTAAATATTTCTCTCAGCTAGAGATCTGATCCATATTCACGGAATTTATCGCCCACAACTTCCCGAAATGTAATTTTCCTTAATTAAAAAATTAAATTGCAATTTTTCCTGATTTTTCTTATGGAAAAACAAATTAAAATTGGAATTTTCCTCGATTTTTTTCATAGAAAACATTGAAATAGAATTTTCCTCAATTTTTATACCCTACAACACTATGTGTTGGGGGTATTATAAGTTTGATTGGGCCAGAATTTATGTAACACCTCGAAATATTGGTTTCCCACATAGGAAAGTATATATGGATCTTCCTAGCTCGCCGAGCTGAGTCGATCTAGCTATGTATGTCCGTCCGTCCGTCTGTCCGTCTGTCCATGTTAATTTGTAATCACTCTACAGGTCGCAATTATGGTCCGATCTTCACGAAATTTAAAATGGAGGTGGGGCTAGGGTCAGAATAGAACCCTATTTCTTTTGGAGATGATCGCATAATACTTAGGGGTCGAAATGGACCAAATACTGAAAAATATCGGGTTTTGCAGTAGCTATACAGGTCGCAATTATAGACCAATCGGAATTTCGCATGTAGCTAGAGTTTAGGGCGGGGAAGAAGCCTACCAATTAGGGTGGTCATCGGATAATATTTAGCGGGTAAAATAGACCATATATTTTGTGTTGAAAAAATTCAACATTTTTCATTAATTTCATTCCCGGCGAAATCATGAAGCCATGATAAGGTTACTTCTGACCTTTACATTGATCTTAACATCCAACAAATCGGATATATAGCAAAATATGTGCGATATATATGTCTATCAAAGAAGATATGCTTGAAAGATCTCTTATATGTCGAGAACGGCTGAACTGATTTCGACAGTTCTCATTTATTCAGAATGGCCTCTTGGCAGGAAAGAAAAAACGTCTAAAAAAATCGCATAAAAATATCTCTCTAAAGATGAAAATATTGATTTTCTAAAATTTTCTCATATTTTTTCAATTTTGTCATATTTTTGGCATATTTTCATTTTGAATTAAACATTTGGTAATATTTCTACAGCTAACAAAACTAAGTAGTTAGGATATCAGGATATCATATACAGATCGCATTTATGGCCCGATCCTTACGAAATTTTGCATGGGTATAAGATGAGGGTCAGAATAGAAGCCTACTCTTTTTGGAGATGATCGCCATATATTTTGGGGTTGAAATGGACCAAAAAACTACAAAATTGTCAGCAGGTCGTAATTATCGCCCGATCCTCACGCACATTTGAATGGGGGTTGCAAAAGCCAAGCAGTTTTGGATGGACATCCCAAAAATATTCAATGTGTGAAATAGTTTGCCAACTTTTGTAGACAAAATACGAAAATGTCCATTCCAGTGACTTTTGACTATTTCGTTAACGCTGATTTCGTTGAAGAATATAGTCAAATGTCTGTATCTCATATAGATGCGTTTCAGTCAAAAACCAATAATAAATGTTAATCTTTTGCCACTTCTGAGAGATTATTGGTCTTTGGGAAATATTGGTTCGAGATCTAGGAAGACCATTTACGTGCAACATCTACCAATAAATTGGAAATGAGCAAATTAGCTTAAGTTGCTATTATTCGAAAATTAGAGAACGAAACCTGATGGGTTTCTTTTATTATTTGTCACAATATCTTGTGGAATTCATTCGAGTATCTCGGCTATATAAACTGTATCACTTATTATAGTGTTGTAGGGTATTCAACGGTCGGCCCCGCTCGACTGTAGCCTTTGCTTACTTGTTTTCTTATGGAAAAAATTCCAAATTTATTTTTTTTCTCGATTTTTTTATTTCAATAAAAAAATTGAAAAAATAATTTTTCTTTTTTTCAACAAAAAATTGAAAATATAATTTTCCTGTTTTTTTTTTTTTCATAGAGAAAATTTGAAATAGTATTTTCCAACTCACCTTCATATTTGGTTGCTGCAACTGCAAGAACGTGGCTATTCCATTGCGCACACGATTCTTGACGCCACGTACTGTGCCCTTGTTGGAGCGTATTGTTGATGTGGCCGAACCACAACGTAGATCCTTGTAGCCGGCAAACACATCATCATTCAAGCTGTTGCGGCCATCGTATTCTGCAAGTGATTCACTGCCTGACTCGGAAAATCCATTGCCACCATTGTTGGTGTTGTTGTTGCCAAAACTGCGGAAATTTTCATGTTCATTGACATGGAAATTATAGTATTTATCGGCTTCATATTTACGTGGCATGGAGTTCATTTTAATGTCAATGAAGGTGCCATCCTCCTGATTGAGTACAAATGTTTTGGAGGGTAGTGAGGCACGTTTGGCAACGTTCGTCGAGGTGGAATTTTCCGTGTTGCGTGCTTGAACAAAGTCATTTTGGGCCATCATATAATCCTGGGAGCTAATGGGTTCATACGATTCACTCTGGCGCTGTTTGTGGGCCTTGATACGCTGTTCAATGTGATCTTCGTCTTCTTCATTTTCATTCTCGGCCTCATATTCGGTGTTGTTGAGTTTGAGATTTTTAATATCCCTCAGCAGGGAATCGGGTAGAAAGGAGCCCAGGATCTTTCGCGATGGTGATGGGATTTTATTTTGTATGGGTGATTGAGAGGATTGGCGCATAAATTCACTGGAATGCAGGGAATCGCAGCTGAGCGAAGAGGCTTCACTCTCCTCCGAATCGGTGTAGGAGGATGAGTTGCAATTACGTGGATCCTTGTTGCTGCCATGTTGTGAAGAGGATACCCTTACCTTGGTGGTTTTCAAATGCATTTCAAGCCCGTTGGCCGAGGGTTTTTTGCTGGGCGGCAGCAGTAGATGGGCTGTGGGAGTGTGTGGCGTGTGATTTTGGGATTCCAAGTCACTGCCGGTGCCACTGTCCAGGGTATCGCAGGGTGAAAATTGTCCACTGGACATGGTCGAGTAGTAAAGATAACTGGGATTTGTAACATTCAATTCGGAATTGTGGCCAGCGGACGAATTGGGCGCCAGCGATGGGGTTGTAATATTCGTATTAGAACCTCCACCGCCTGCACTGCTTACCGTTACCGAGACATTGTTTTGAGATTTTTGCACCATTTTTTCCAAATTCAAATGTAATTCACTTTTGCGAGATTTTTCGTTTTCTTCGGATTTTTCTTTTTGATTTTCTTGGTCTGCTTTGTTTTTTTCTTCACTTGAATTCACTTCACTTTCTTTTGGATTTTCTTTTGTGTTTTCGTTGTTATGGTTTTCCAACAATTCTTCGTTTTCAATTTTCACAACGGAAATTTGTTTTTCCACTGCCGAATTGGGAGCTGGGGTTATGGGTTTATTATTATTATTTTGGGGATTTATTTGGATTTTCACAACATGAGCTGCTGCACTGGCAGTTGGAGGCGTTTTGCCCGTATTTTCACCGCACTCTTGACTATTTTCTTTTTTCCAATAGAAATTTTCACCAATAATCACTGATGTCGTGGCTTGCCTCGATTGGAGCTGGGGAGTTGTAGCCGTATCCGCTTGCGTTAAAAGACTGTTGGAGTTTTCTTTGGCCGGCCAACGTTTACCATGACTAACAATGATATCTAAGCCACTATCTCCTCTCTTACCAATACCACTAACAAATTTCAAACCACAATCATCATCATCATCATTATTATGATCATCATGATCGGCTTTGTTGTGTTCCCCAGCTTCATAATGATGTTCATTATGATCTTCATTATGAGGTTTGAAGTTAGTCTCATCATTGCCTTGATTTTCTTGGCCATTTGTTGTTTGCCGTTTAGAGTTGGTCTGGTTTAAGCTGCAATGGCCATTATTTTCTTCTTTGTTACCATTAACCTGTTGACTAGTTAGTTGTTGTGTTGTTGTTTTTGTTATAGTTGTGGTTGTGGTAGTGTTAGTGGTTGTTGTGGCCGTATGAGACGTTTGATTACTTTCATTATTGAAGTTATTGCTCTTGGGGCCGCTCTCTTTGTGACTCTCTCTCACAACATGATCATCATCATCTCTCATAGATTCCATTTTGCTCTCTCTCAAATTTCCATTACCGTTAGCCAGTATTGCAATTTCCAATGGTTTTTCTGTCGACATTTCCCTGGACAATGGAAGAAAATCGGTTGGATTGGAAGTTGAACACTTAACTTGGATTACAGCAGACGAAGATGAGGATGACAGCGACGATGATGATGGAGTTGGAGTTGCAAGACAAGCGGATGGATTCCAATCATCATTGCCATAAGAATCACCAATGGTTGTTTGTTTACGGTTAATATCAATTAGTAATTTGTTGTTATTATTTGTATTATTGTTGTTGTTGGTTTTGTTGCTGGCCACTTCGTTGCCATTCAAGTTGGTTAGTGTCGTGCCATGGCCAGTGGTCTGACAAGAATGTTGTATTTTAATGACATTTGAGACCAAGGCAGCGGAGGAGGGTCCCGAATAATTGGGTATTACAATTCCCGTTGCTGATGGACCACCACCACTACTACTAGCGGTTGGATCGATTTTAATGGAAATGCCTTGATGCTGTGAATTTGTTTGGTTTGATGCAACAGAGTTGACGGAGGTAGACTGTTGTTGTGTGTCCAGGCAATTGATAATGGTTTTGGTAGCCATGTTTTCTTTTTTTTTTTTTTTTTTTTGCTTAGAAGTAGTCTTGGTTTTTTTCAAATTTGGTTTTAAATTTCAATACCTTCTTCCCTTTTTTTTGCGCTCGCTTATTGTTTTACCTTGCAACCATGTGTGACCATAGGTGTAAGATGTGTGGGGAGGGTCTCTAATACCTAGTCTGGTGGTTTGTTTTACCTTGTCTTCTTCTTTGCAGTAACTCAAACCAATGCGGAAGTTTTCAATTCGTTTGCCTTTGTTTATGTTTTTTTTTTCTTTTCTTTTTCTTCTTGGCAACACTTCTTCATGAATACATTTCTCCTAAGTTTTCATTTCATTTGTTTGCCATACAGCTTTCCAGCATTTTGTGCCACCAGCTTGATGTTGTTGTTTTTTCTATTTTGCGTTTGGCTTACTAAACTGTTTTCCGTATTTTTGAGTGGAGTATTCCAAAAAACGTCCTAAAAAAAAAAGAAAATTGAAAAAAAATTAGAACAAAAAAATATATTTTTCAAAAGAAAACAGTAAGGAAAAATCAAAAGTCCAGTGGGCCGACTATATCATACCCTACAGCAAGTAGATCATACCACCTATGAATATTTGGCTTTAGGGCAGATATAGTTTAGTTTGAGGTGGAACTAAAATACGGGAGGCATACGCAAATCTGAATCGATTTTCACTAAATTTGACGGAGACATTATAATCTTTTATACCAACAAGTAAAAAAGCTGAAATTTCGGCCGTTCGGAACTTTGAATACCCTCCCCCATTTGGAATGAATTTGGCAATTTTCAAAAAAAAAATAAAATCCGTTAAAAATTCTGTTAAAATCTTAAAAATACCGAATATATCCGTTATATTGGGGTCTATACGAAAACGTGGACTTGCATAAGCAACTTTTGCCATAAGCCATTACAATACTTGAAAAATATCCGGTGAATAAAGAAGCTAAAATCGTCAAAGTACCGAATATATGGAGGTACTGATATACGAAGACCTGGACATGCATAGACAATTTTCTGTCACAGGCTGTAGTACCTATTAGGAACTTCAAATACGATATTTCAAATAATTGTTCCTAAAATATAGGGAGGTGGTGATATATGGGGCCTACACGAAGACCTGGACCTACACAGGCAATTTTCTGTCATAGACTGCAGTACCCATTAAGAAATTAAAATTGGAAATTTGAAACAATTCCGTTGAATAATATCGCTAAATTCATCAATATACTGTATAACCCCCATATAAGTACCGATACATGAGGGCTATACGAAGACCTGAACCTGCATAGGAAATTTTGCTCTTACAGACTGCAATTCCGGTGATTAATATCGCTTAAATCATCAAAATTAACCACAGACACCAGCAGTGACATCTTTATCAAATTTGAGGATTCCATTCCTATCCATTCACCCAATACCCAATTGAGTACCATTAAGTACTTTTCGTATAATTTTAGCACTAATTTGCAAAACCGATTCACAACTCAGTCCTAGACACCAACGATTATCGAATTATAAAATTTCAGGATTTCAGCTCCATTGTTCCTCCAATACCCGATTAAGTACCACTTAGTACGTTTCGAGCAATTATAGTACACATATCCAAAAACCACAGATATCAACACGGACATCTACATATAAATATCAGTGACATCTGTATATCAATTTCAGATACCAAAAGACACCTCAAAATCAAATTTCAGAAATTTCAGCTCTATCCCTTCACCCAATACCAGATTTAGTACTATTCAGTACTTTTCGTAAAAATGCCACTCAGTAACAGACACAAAAAGTTATCGCAATATAAAATTTCATGATTCATAGTACATTTTGTACAACTGTAGCACTTATTTCCAAAACCACCTCCATATTTGAATTCCAGATGCCAACAGAGACCTCAATATCAAATTTCGAGATTCCAACTTTATCCCTTCACTAAACACACAATTTAGTGTCATTTAGTAATTTTCCTATAATTTTAGTACTAATTTGCAAAATTTTTCGATAACTCAATCCTAGACACCAACAGTTATCGCTATATACAAAAAGTCGCGGTTTCGTATTTATCCGTTCACCAATTAAGTACCTTTTAGTTCTCTTAAAACAAATATGTTATATATTTCGAAAACCAAATTTTGGGATTCCAGTTCTATCCCATTATCCAATACCAAATTTAGTACCATTTAGTTCTTTTTGTGCAAATATAGGATGTATTTCTAAACCACCGCCATATTTCAAACACAAATACCAGCAGCATCTATGAATATCAAATTTTAGAATTTTATATCTATCTTTTCACCAATACCAAATATAGTACTATTTAGTACTTTTTGTACTATTGGGCCAGAATAGAAGCCTATTGCTTTTGGATAATATTTAGGGTTTGAAATGGACCAAAAATTTTTCTGATTTTGCTGTTGCTCTACAGGTCGCAATTATAGACCAATCGATGGTCGGAAGTTAACAAAGGGCTAGAATGTCTTCCAATTTTGATGGTCATCGGGTAATATTTGGGGGGGTGAAAAAGACCATAACATTTGTGTTAAATAAAAGTCAAATTTTCTATTAAACCGCGAATATTTTTAATACGGCAAAATCACAAATAGACGAACAGGTTAATTCTGACCGAAATACATATAGCAATTATCGTCCGATCTCCACGATAATTTGCATAAGGGTAGGGTTAGGCTCAGAAGGACTAGACCTATTATTTTTAAATATATTCGAAATATATTTAGGGGTTGAAATGGTCCAACAACTAAAAATGTTCCAGGTTTTGCATCCGATATAAGGGTCACATATAAAAACCAAAGGAAATCTGGTATGAAATTAGAGTTTAGGACAGTGGGTAGAATGAACCAGCACTTTTTGGTGAAAAAAAATACACAAAAGACGAGCTTCTGGCTTTTTTGTTGCTGATCTGGTTGATGAATACAGCAAAATATCGTAGACCAGCAAATCATATAGATGAGACTAAATTTGGAGATACTGATAGGCCTCTTGCTTTTGGAAATGATCGCAAAATATTTAAGGGTTCAAATGAACCAGAAACAGAAACATTTTCCTGATCACACAATTAAAACCAATCGACACGGAAATTTGCCTGAGAAGTAAGTTAAGTTAATTAAAGAATATTAAGCAATTGGTCTTCTCATCGAAGAGCAATTGGTCTTCTCATAGAAAAGCAGTTGGTCTTCTCATCGAAGAGCAATTGGTCTTCTCATTGAAGAGCAATTGGACTTCTCATCGAAGAGCAATTGGACTTCTTCTTGTAGATTCTTAATTTCGATAAATCTCTTTTCATACTTTCCCTCTCACAAACACTCCCATCTCATACATCTGAATAAGAGATTCATTTATTCACATTGTAACCTTAGCCGATTTCCGTTTATTATCTCATCCAACATCAGAATTCTCTATTCAATCAAAAATTTAAATAACAATTTTTTTGACAACTTGTCTGTAGATTGTCGGTTTGTTTTTTGTTTCGTTTGTCAATTTTAATGTCAATACAATGAAGATAAATGGGTTTCCTATAGAATTCTTTGTGTCTTTTTTAACCTCATCAGGTTAGCAGTTATTTGCCTTAGACAAGCCACAACAACAAGAAATGACAAAGGTTATTTCATCGATATTTCATTTTTAATTTTAATGAAATCATTATGATTAGAAAAGAAGAAGAAGATATGCTATTAAATATTCAAAATATATTCTGTTTAACCCTACATCATGTGCAGAGGGTCGTTGTGGTCTGAGTGGTATTTCTCTCATGAATGATCTAATTTTTAAATCAAAGAATCATCAGAGCGAATATATAGTTCAGCAAGCGAGGGCAATATTTTTTCTAGTTTTGCAAAGTGTATAGGATTAAATTAAAAAAAAAACGCATTTTATATGTGAGGGTTAACATCTCTTGGTTTTTGGGAAGATTCGATGTTTTTTTTTTCCTATTCTAAACAAGTTGATTAATTCCGGTATTATTAATGCCTCGTTTTGCTGTAGAAATAGGAAAGAAGAGGGTATGGCATATAACTGGTAATTTTTGATTATTACACACAAATCAAATAACAAAATTATTATTAGATTTGTTGAATATCTTTTATGAATATTTATTGTTTTCAATGCGAAACGTGTTTTTTTTTAACGTGTCCATTTTAAATTTATCGAAGAAGGTGCAGAAACTTGTCCATTAAAGAATATTTCTGAAAATCTATAACTGTATAATATTTGTATTTATTTAGTATATATATTCTTGATCAGCATAAAATGCTATGTCGAATTAGTTATGTCCGTCCGTCTGTGGAAATCACTCTAGCTTTCGAACGATATAAATTAGATTGATAGTTTTTTTTAAGTTTTCCCTTTGAATATTGTAATGGCAGCTTACTTCCGGTCTTCTATGAGAAGACCTTCAGCTGTTGGTCTTCTATGAGAAGCCCTCCAGCTTCTGGTCTTCTATGAGAAGGCCTCCAGCTTCTGGTCTTCTATGAGAAGACCTTCAGCTGTTGGTCTTCTATGAGAAGACCTTCTGGTCTTCTATGAGAAGACATTCAGCTGTTGGTCTTCTATGAGACCTTCTGGTCTTCTATGAGAAGACCTTCTGGTCTTCTATGAGAAGACCTTCTGGTCTTCTATGAGAAGACATTCTGGTCTTCTATGAGAAGACATTCTGGTCTTCTATGAGAAGACATTCTGGTCTTCTATGAGAAGACATTCTGGTCTTCTATGAGAAGACATTCTGGTCTTCTATGAGAAGACATTCTGGTCTTCTATGGAAAGACCTTCCGGTCTTCTATGGGAAAACCTTCTGGTCTTCTATGGGAAAACCTCAAGCCTTCTATGAGAAAATCTTATCGTCTTCTCCCTCTGTTGACCTCTTGGTCTTCTATGAGAAAATTTTCTCCTTCTCTTGACCTCTTGGTCTTCTATGAGAAAACCTCTTGGTCTTCTCTGAGAAGACCAATTGCTCTTTTATGAGAAGACCAATTACTCTCCTATGAGCATATCGATTGCTCTTCTATAAGAAAAACAATAGAAGACCCCTCCTACTTTATTTTATTTTTCTTTTTTTTTTTGCGAAAACTTCCCACCCCCTCTCTTATTTCTCTTTAACTTTATCTTCATGTAAATTTTCAATCAGAATGTGAATGCTTTCGTAATGAATATATTACAACAACAATAACAAAATTCCAATGAACATAACACCTTTCGTTGTTGTAGTGACTACATTAACAATGATGATGTTGATGATGATGAAGAAGCGTGTCTGAACACTGGAAAAACGCTCGTGTGCCAATTCTTAGTGGAGACGCAGAATAGCAAAAGCAACAACAAAGAATGTGGTTTATAACATGTTCTGTATAATTCTGGAAGTTGTCGTTGTTCTTGGAATGTATTCTGGTTTTGAATTCAGTTTCGACGTAGTTATTTATTATTTCTTTTTAATAATTATTTTG